TCTGGCTTTGGTTTGTTCCTGAACAGCACCTCGCCAGTATACGACACAGGCGTATGCATCTGAGCTCGCGTCGACGAATGTGTGAAGCTCGTCGTATGTGCCGTCGCCACACCGGGGTAACACCGTGGTATTACCAAGTGGGGTAACTGCTGTGCGTGCGATATCCAGCTCCGCCACGCTGCTGCTTCCGTTCTTGCAGTTCGGTGTCCCAGCCGATACCCGTGCGCCTACGTTTCTTGTAATATCTTCTTGGCTTGTATTGTGACGGGTGTGGCCAGGCCCAATGGGTCGAACAGCGACATAACGGCGCGGAGGGCTTCTCTCTTCGTTGGGGTGCGTTCGCCTCGTATGATGTGTAACGGAAGTTTGTTCCCGTTGAAGTTGAACCCGAGACTGTCTTCCTCAGGCCGCCACACCATTCCCAGTATCTTCTCAGCGTCGAGTTGCACCATGTTCTCTTCATTTCTATGTGAGAACTCTTCTCGTACATGGCGCGAGTTCGATGCCCAGCGCTGAAGATAGTAGTTCGCCCGGCTGTGGATGTAGGCGACCTCGCTTGAGACTCGTACGGCTTGCTCTTCAGTGTCGAAGCTAGCGAGGTAGTCGTCAACATAGTGATTGACAACCACCGCTGCAGCCGCCTCCGGGAACTCTTCTTTATGTAGTTCGGCGTTCTTGTTCTTCACGTATATCGCCGTGCATGGTGACGAAGTGGCCCCGAAGATGACGCTCTTCATCCTATATTCGACAGCTGGGCCCTGGCGTCGATCTCCTCTCCATAGAAACCGTTGCATGTCTCGGTCTTTGTGCTGGCCGCTGCCCCCGGGAGTCGGAAGGCGCGTCGGCAGGCACCGAGTCGCTGGTACGCCCGGACGTCAATCTATCCTCCTCGAGGTGAGAGAGTGCCCTTTTCAAAGCACTCCCTACCTGAAGGGCCTCAATCAACGCCGCGGGCGCGTTGCGGGTGAAGGACCAGGTGCCTCTTTATAGGCACCACGATGATTCGTCCTGAGAAGGACGTTTAAGCGATGATGATGCGACGGTGACACGATGCGATGACACGATGCGTGAAGAGGGTTGTGACGACTATGGCTTTGGCTTGACGATGGCGATGGTGGACGGGCAGTAAATGAGAAAACGGTTCTGTGGTTCAGAATGCAGAGGCGAGGAGAATTTCTTCAGTGGTTGATTCCTTTTCAGGTCGATTTCGCTATCCGGAGATCAATTTCGCTATTCAGAGGTCGAATTCGCTATTCAGAAGTCCATTTCGCTATGATTTGTAGCGCTTTTGGACGCTACTTATATACGATTTTTGGCTACTAGCCAGCGGACCTTTGGCCGCCCTATTCTCCTCACCCCTTTATACAATTTTTATTATATTTTATCAATCTTATAATTTATGCTTACAATTTGTGCATCAAACGACAATATCATCTTTAATTTACATTTCTATTATGATGTGTGTGCTGCGTGACGTGCGGTTTAGGAATAATTCGCGATTTCGCGGATCGCGCCTTTTATATGACCTCGCTCCCCTTCCCCCTCATATATATATAGCGCGGGAGAGCGAGGTCGCGCGTCAGTCGAACGAATGCTGCCGCGCAACGCACATTACAATTATTATTACATATCTACAAATGAAATGATACTATAAAAGATCCCTATGTATTTTGGGATCTATATTCTATTCTGTTTCTATCTGCCGACCTATTTATTTTCGGGGATTGAAACCACAATCATTATAATCATTTATTTGTCAAGCATTTTGTAAATAATAACATAAAATACTTAAATCTCTATAAACTTATCCCTATCAAATCTACTATTCTTAAGATGTTACTATGTAACAATTGTACTATTTATAAATTTGCTATATCTAATCGAACTTATTTCTACAAACTATGACTATATATAATCTTTAAGCGGTGGTCCGGAACATTATTCTCCCGCCGCTGCAGCGGTCGTTGAGGGCGCTGCAGGAGCCTTGTCTGGTTCCGGAGCCCGCTCTTCACTATCAGCAACTCCCGTTGGCAGGACCACGAGTCGTTTGGTTGGCCTCCTCAGCACGCCATTCTTGGTCTGGATGTCGGCCACTCGGATGACGCCGTCTGGGCCGGGAAACACTGCTATTACTCTCCCGCGCGGCCATGTGTTGCGCGGGAGATTGGAGTCGACGATCAGGACTAAGTCCCCGATGCGCAGAGGTTGCCCCGTGCCGCGGGGCTCCCGCCGGTGTTGAAGTTCCGGTAGGTACTCCCGGAGCCATCGGCTCCAGAAGTGGTCTGCTAGCCGCTGCGCTCTCTTCCAGTGACTCCGGCTATCGATATCGGTGTCTTCAAAACTTCCGGAGTTTGCACTTTGCCCGATCCACCCAGTAGAAAGTGGTTAGGCGTGAGGGCTTCCTCGTCGTCCGGTCAGTTGACACATGTGTGAGCGGACGGCTATTCACGGTATATTCCGCCTCACACAGCAGTGTGACTAATGTTTCTTCCGAAGGGTGCCGCTCATGCAGAGTGGCGGCTAATGCTGTTTTCACGGAGCGGACGAGACGTTCCCACGCTCCGCCCATGAATGGTGCGCTGGGGCTGATGAACCGCCAGCGTATACGATGATTAGCCGCGTCTTCGCGACTTGCTTCTATGGCGGCGCGACGTAGCTCTGCGTCTGCGCCGTGGAAGTTGGTCCCATTGTCGGACCAGATCTCGGTTGGCTTCCCTCGTCGGGCCATCATCCGCCTGAGTGCGGATATTGCGGAGTCTGTGGACAATGAGGTGGTTAACTCTAAATGTACTGCTCGCGTTGTCAAGCATGTGAACAACGCGACGTAGCGTTTGTGGTGTTGTCGCCCCACGGTGACACCAAGAGGCCCGAAGAAGTCCACGCCTGTGTATGTGAACGGCCTCTGGTGATGGGCGAGTCGGCTGACCGGATGGTCGCCGGTGGGCGGGATCGATGCTGTTGAGCTCGTCGTAGTCGGCACAGTTGACATCGCTTGACGATGCTGCGAATTGTCGGTCTTGCTCGAAGTATCCAATAATGCTGTCGAGCTTCGTTCATCACCAACTCGACTCCGGCGTGGTGATGTGTTCTATGCACCCAGTCCAGGTATAACTGGGTGTATCGATGATTCCCATCCAGGACTATCGGTTTCTTCATGCTGTCTGTAACATCGATGACTGCTGCTATTCTTGATTTCAACTTGATATAACCGTCTTCTTCGATCACCGCTAGTGGTTTCAGTCGGCTATTGTTATCGACTGTCCCTTTACCGCGGAGTGTTTCTATTTCGTTCTTGAACGATTCTTGTTGCGCGGCCCGTATCCACAATTGTTCCGCGCGCTGTATATATTCCGCAGTTAATTTGATGAAATTTCTTTCTTCACTATTGTCGAACCTCGGCGCTGTCCGTACTATTTTGCGAGCTGTCTTCTTATTCCACGCCGGGTCCTTCTCTATATTGCGCGCTGTGCGCCGATAATGTACCGCGTTTTGTGAGGCGGTGTTTTTTTTATTTTCGACCGCTTCGCGTAGCCAGTCGATGAACTGCAACACGCGTGCTGTGGCTCGTAGCAGTCGCAGCCATGACGTGAAGCGTGTGATGTCCGGGAGTACGCCGCTGTCTGTTGTGTTGCTATCGCCTGTGTATACCATGTGCGTGCGTTCTTCTCCGGTGTCTGTTGTTATGCCACCAGGCTCATCTTGCCCGGGCCATTCTTCCTGCGGCTTGTATAGGAACTGGGGTCCGGTGAACCATCGGTGTTCCGTGTCGAAATCCGTGGGCACTCCTCGAGTTGCGTCATCGGCCACGTTGTGACGCGTAGGTACCCATTTCCATTCGTTCGCTTTCGTTTCTTCTTCTATTTCCGCGACTCTATGCGCCACGAATGGTTTGAATGTGCGTGGACCAGCCCTTAACCACGCTAATACTGTTCTTGAATCGCTCCAGAAGTATCGACGGTCCGGTTTAATCTGGTATTCTTCTGTAGCCGTACGTGCTAACCGGCAACCCAGGACAGCGGCTTGCAACTCGAGTCTTGGTATAGATACTATCTTCAGAGGTGAAACTCGCGCCTTAGCTACGGCGAGTGTCACGTGAATGTTGCCGTCCTTGTCTTGCACTCTCCAATACACGGCGGCGGCGTAGGCGTTCTCGCTTGCGTCTACGAATGTGTGCAGTTCCCTGGATGACGCGCTGCTCAGCTCCGGATGACATCGTGGCACGTTGATATGGCGTAAATTGATTAAGTGCTGTGTCCACTTCGTCCAGTCTTCGGCTAACTTCTCAGGCAATTTCTCGTCCCAGCCGATGCCGATTCGCCATGTTTCTTGTAAAATGCCTTTCGCTTGCACGGTGACGGGTGATGCTAATCCTAGTGGGTCGAAGAGAGACATGACCGTCCGGAGGGCTTCTCTCTTCGTCGGTGTGCGACTTCCGTTGACTATCTCTTGCGGAATTCGGGCCATATTTAAGTTGAAGCCCAATGTGTCCGTGGCGGGCCTCCATGTGAGGCCTAATATTTTCTCTTCTTTGTCGGCTCTATCTATGGAGACGGTCCTATCTTCTATTCTTGGGCTGTTGTATTTTTCTTGTAGTTGCGGGCTGTTCTATGTCCACTTCCTTAAGTGGAATTTTGCTTTCCTATGTACGGTGTCAACTTCATGGGTGATTTTCATAGCTTCTTCCTCCGTTTGGAAACTTTGAAGGTAATCATCCATATAGTGGTTATGGATAATTGCGTCGGCTGCTCTTGGATATTGTTCCTTGTGTTGTTCTGCGTTGTGGTTCTTGATGTACAAAGCGATGCACGGTGAGCAGGCGGCGCCGAAGATCACTGCCTTCATTCTATATTCGCGGGGTGGTCCCTCCCGCCGGTGTTGTCGCCACAGGAACCGCAGGACATCTCTATCTTCTTCGTTGATTTCTATTCGTAGAAACATTTCTTCTATATCTGCGGCGACGGCTATTGGATGTTGTCTGAATCGCATTAACACCCCTGGTAACGATTGAAGTAAGTCCGGACCGGTCAGCAGATGATCGTTGAGTGACGTCCCCCTGGCGCGAGCGGCTGCATCGAAGACTGGACGAACTTTCCCCGGCTTAGCTGGATGAAGCACGGGAAAGTGTGGAAGATACCAGGTGCGGGCGCCCGATGCTGTGGTGGCGGCTTCTTCCGCGTAGCCTTTTTCTATTAGGAGTGCTATTTGTCGCTCGTATTCTTCTTTCAGCTGTGGATTCCTATCTATTTTCTTCTCTGTGCTGTACAGCCTGTTGAGCGCCGCATCGTAGTTGTTCGGCAACTCGACTTTATCTGTTTTCCACAGTAGCGATGTACTATATCCCTCATCTGGCAGAGCGCGAGTCTTCTTCTGTAGTATTTGTAGTGCTCGTTCTTGAGGGTCGGCGCGCGTTTTCCTTGGTAGCACGCCCAGCGATTCTATAGAGAAATATCTTCTTAATTCCTCTTCTATTCTATCCTCGGCCCCCTCACGTATATGATATACATGGTGGACTTGATGGCCGAGACTGCGAGTGGACGCTCCATGCAGCACCCACCCGAGCGGAGTTTTCGACGCGACTGGTTGTGACGAAGATCCTCGGCGAACTTCTATAGCCAGTAACAGTTCCCAATTGTCTTGGCCGATGAGGATCGTTGGTGTGGCGTCGTGGTAACACAGTATCGTCTTGATGCCAGCCAGGTGTTGACATCGTCGGATATCCCTTTCTTCTATTTGCTGTTTGGCGAGTTTGAGTCCCTTCATTGTCCTGGCGGAGATCTCATACTCTTCTTCTGGTCCGCATAACGTTAGAGTTACGCGTCTCGAACTATTTGTTCGAACCGTTGCGCCGGCCAGTGCTTCTATTTTCAGTGGTTCTGTCGGCCCCTCCGCGCCGACTCTTGTGGCTATTTCCTCATCTATGAGGGTGACGGTAGATCCATCGTCGAGGAGGGCGAAAGTGTCGATGCTGGCCCGCGGTCCGACTATTTTCACCGGCAGTATTTTGAGATAACTGCGCGGCGAACGTGTGAGCGAGACGCCTGTCGATACTGTTGCTGTCTCTGTCTTCTGTGTCTCGCTCGCTGCCCTGTAGTGCAACAATTTGTGATGCATACGTGGGCAGTCATCTATTCCGCAAGTCTTCGTCTTGCAGTTATGTGTCTGTGTTCGATATTGTAGGCATCGGAAACACAGACGTTGCGCCTTCGCTATTTCCCAACGCCCGTAGCTATTTTCTTTCTTGAATTTTTCACACTGTTGCGCCGCCGTGTGCGAATTTGATTTGCACACGGGACACGTTGGCTTGTGGCGGGGTGGGCTGTCCGTCTTGCTCGCTGTATGTGTTCGCTGCGGACGGATTTGAACACGACGACTTTCCGACGGCTTCGGTTTGTCGTCCATGCTTGCTATCTTCATGGGTTCGGCGCTTACGCTATAAATTTCAGCTTCTATCTTCACGAAGTTGTAGTACTGTACTAAATCCGGTACGTCTTCGTGGGCTTGCTGCTGGCAGTAGACATACCACCTATGTCGAATGTTCGGCGGTAGTTTTTCTATTAATAACTTCGCCACTTCCGGGTTGTATAGGAAGTTGACCTTCTTCAACGTCTTCAATGATACGATGCTATTCTTGACGGCTGTGGCGAATCTGCAGAACTCCCCCGGTGTGTCCTTCGGTGGTGGAAGACTCCGCAGCTTTGCTATTTCGACTTCTGCTATGTTGTTCGGTCGACCGAAGGTGAGCTCCAACTCGTGCATGATCTCTTCGGCCGGCGTGTTTGCTATTAGGAGGCTCTTCATTGCTGACCTAGCCTCCCCTCGTAAGGCTCTCCGGAGCCTTTCTATGTTCTGCGACGGCGTTAGATACCCCGCAGATTCTTCATAGGCTGCCTTGAAGGCCAGCCAATCTGTATGCGCCCGTAGAACGGTGTGAGTTCCCCTCTATACTGTGCTGCTAGGGGACCCGACGTTGACGCTTGTGGGTGCGACGCGACGGCCGCTAGCGACGATGTAGTCGCCCTGACGATTTCGGTTACTGCAGTTGCGAGATCACCAACTTGAATGGTGTCTGTAGGTGCCAATCGTTGATGAGTTTCTATGGTACCCCGAAGCGGCTCCTCTATTCTTGCCGGTGTGGGCCTCTTCGGTGGATTCGGTGGTGCTTCTGGTGGAGGCGGTGGTGGCTCGGACTGCTGCTCGAGCCATTCGACGACCCTATTGTGGCCGTCTTGCGATGCTGGTTCCGACGGTTCTTCGTCTTCTTCTTCTCCGAAGGTTTCCAGTCGGGCCAGCTTGGCCTCCGCCAACTGTAATCGATAGCGAATGACCTCTTCCCGGGCGATAGCGATTTGTTTCTGTCTCTCCTTTCTCTATCGGAGAGCTGTGATCGCGCCGTTGTTTGTTGAACGACGGTTTCTTCGACGTCTTGTGTCCCTTGTGGCGACCTCGGCGGTATGCTATGTCGAATAGGGAACGGGTTTTCCCTCCGCGGTGGGTCTGGGACCTGTTCTGCATCTGTTTGATGCTCTTCTGTCTTCTCCTCTTGCATCTTGCCAGTTCTGCTTCGTGTGACGGGCATCTTCTATTTTGTCTTCTATTCTTCTTGATACGGCTCGAAGGACCAGCAGATGTGCTGGCCGCTGCCCCCGGGAGTCGGAAGGCGCGTCGGCAGGCACCGAGTCGCTGGTACGCCCGGACGTCAATCTATCCTCCTCGAGGTGAGAGAGTGCCCTTTTCAAAGCACTCCCTACCTGAAGGGCCTCAATCAACGCCGCGGGCGCGTTGCGGGTGAAGGACCAGGTGCCTCTTTATAGGCACCACGATGATTCGTCCTGAGAAGGACGTTTAAGCGATGATGATGCGACGGTGACACGATGCGATGACACGATGCGTGAAGAGGGTTGTGACGACTATGGCTTTGGCTTGACGATGGCGATGGTGGACGGGCAGTAAATGAGAAAACGGTTCTTGTGGTTCAGAATGCAGAGGCGAGGAGAATTTCTTCAGTGGTTGATTCCTTTTCAGGTCTATTTCGCTATTCAGAGATCAATTTCGCTATTCTGAGGTCTATTTCGCTATTCAGAGATCAATTTCGCTATGATTTGTAGCGCTTTTGGACGCTACTTATATACGATTTTTGGCTACTAGCCAGCGGACCCTTGGTCGCCCTATTCTCCTCACCCTTTATACACTTTTTATTATATTTTATCAATCTTATAATTTATGCTTACAATTTGTGCATCAAACGACAATATCATCTTTAATTTACATTTCTATTATGATGTGTGTGCTGCGTGACGTGCGGTTTAGGAATAATTCGCGATTTCGCGGATCGCGCCTTTTATATGACCTCGCTCCCCTTCCCCCTCATATATATAGCGCGGGAGAGCGAGGTCGCGCGTCAGTCGAACGAATGCTGCCGCGCAACGCACATTACAATTACTATTACATATCTACAAATGTACATGATTATAAAAGATCCCTATGTATTTTGGGATCTATAGTCTATTCTGTTTCTATCTGCCGACCTATTTATTTTCGGGGATTGAAACCACAATCATTATAATCATTTATTTGTCAAGCATTTTGTAAATAATAACATAAAATACTTAAATCTCTATAAACTTATCCCTATCAAATCTACTATTCTTAAGATGTTACTATGTAACAATTGTACTATTTATAAATTTGCTATATCTAATCGAACTTATTTCTACAAACTATGACTATATATAATCTTTAAGCGGTGGTCGGAACAGTCTTCTTCTCGTATTGTGACACGCATGAACATATCCTTGATGTCCGCTGTGACCGCCACACGGCGCTGTCGGAACCTCATGAGGACCCCAGGTAGTGATTGGAGTAGGTCGGGTCCCGACAGCAGCATGTCGTTGAGACTAATGCCCCTTGTCTTGGCGGCGGCGTCGTGCACGATGCGCAGCTTGTCCGGTTTCTGTGGGTTGATGACAGCGAAGTGTGGCAGGTACCATACTCGTTCAGTCTTCACTGGTGGGGCGATTTCTGCATATCCCCTTTCTAACAGCGTGGTAATTTGCTGTTTATATCTGTTCTTCATGTCTTCATTCTTGTCGAGTTTTTCTCAATTAACTCGAGGCGTCGCATCGCTGAGTCGTAGTTAGCCGGCGGCGTTGCGTTGTCGCGTTTCCATAGCAACGCGGTCTCGTAGCCTCCCGCCGGTAACGGGCGAGTTTTTTCTTGCAATATTTTCAGCGCGCGTTGTTCCTCTTCATTGTATGAGCGCTTCGGTGTGACGCCCAGTGATTCGAGAGCGAAGTGTTCTTTCATTAATCGCTCTATGGATTCTTCATTTTCTTGCCCGTCGACTAAGTGACTGATTCTGTGCACTTGCTGTCTCGCTCTCGCCGCTCCCGTGCCGTGCAACACCCAACCCAGGTCGGTGAGTGATGCGACCGGTTGTGTCTTATTGCCTCTTCTGACTTCATGTGCGAGCAGCAAATGCCAGTTGTCTTGACCCAGCAGAACCGTCGGTTGACCTTCTTCATATGTCAGCTGATCTATTATATCGTACAAGTGTGGACAGTCTTCTATTGCGCTGCGTGATACTGTTTGTGGAGATAACAGTAGTTTCTTCATGGTTCGAGCAGACACGGCATGATCTTCCGATCTTCGTCCCCGTATTGTGAAGTGGACAAGCTTCGATTCATCGGCGTTTATGCGTGTCCCGGCCACGGCCTCTATGTAGAAGGGTGCGGGAGGGCCAGTGGCGCCGATTTGCTTCGCTGTTGCTTCTTCGATGATGGTGCACGTTGCGCCGTCGTCCAGGAGTGCGTATGTATCGCACGTTCCTTTGGGACCGATCACTTGTATCGGCACTATCTTGAGGAATGCGATCTTCTTATCTTCTCTCGCAGACGCGACGACAGCGGCTGCTTTATCATCGGAGGGCTCGCTGTCCTTCTTCTCTATAGTGTCGACGTGCAGGAGTGGGTGATGTAGGTGTGTACACCCACCAACGTTGCATCTCTTCGTCTTGCAGTTGTGACGAAATCTTTTTATCCTCAGGCAACGGAAACATAGCCTGTGTTTTTTTGCTATCTCCCATCTTGCTTGTGGCTCGGCGTTCTTCACAGTTATGCAGTCGGGTGGTGCGTGTCCCTCCCTGTTGCACGTCGGACACGGCGGTGAAGTCGGTTTCTCCTGCGTGATGTATGTTTTCACGCTTCTCTTCGTTGCTGGCTCCCGCCGGTCTTCATTTACTATTATTTCGGCGGGTGCGAAGTCACCGCACCTGGCTGCGGTGATTTGCAGGAACTTGGAGAGCGTTATCAGGTCCGGTTGATCAGCTGGCTGTTCTGCTACGAAGTCGTAGTATTTGAATCGTAGCGCAGAAGGCATCTTCTCCGTGATGGATCTTGTCACTTCTTCGTTGTACAAATAGTGGTTCTTCTTCAGGGCTTGAATTGTTGCAGTGACATTGGCTATTCTGGATGCGAATAGACAGATGTCCTTGGGGTTGTCTGACAGCCGCGGCAGCGCACGAAGTTTATTCATCTCGGCCATCACGAGTGCTCCTGGACGGCCGAACCTCGTAGCAAGTAATTGTATTACTTCTGCTGCAGACGTATCCCCAACGAAAAGACAGTGTGCAGCCTCTTTGGCCGCACCCTTTAAACACCGACGTAATCTACCCAAGTTTTCTTGCTCGGTCAGCTGCCCCGCAGACTCTTCATAGGCCATCTTCCAGGGCAGCCATTCGCTTGACGCGCCGTTGAAGGGTGGTAGTTCTGTGACTCGCGGCACTGTGGAGGGCTGAATTGCGCGAGCTGCCATAGTCATTGCAGTCGCCAATTCCTTATAGTCGATACCCCCTTTCAGTGAATCCTCTTCTTTCTTCGTTGGCATCATCGGTGCTATGGAGTCTTCCCTCGGACCGTTGTGGCTTGCATGGTCCCGTCGGAATGCGTCGCTGCACGGCTGCGGCTGCGGCGCTTTCGTTCCCTCTCCGGCGGGTATCGATGAGATATTAATCCCCTGATGCAAGTCGGCGGTCGTCCTCTCTGTGTGCGGCTCCATCGTGAGTGCCAATGTGCTCGTCCGGCGAATCCAGTCCGTAGTCCTCTCTCTTCTTAATGTGGCGGCGTCCTCTTCATTTTCGTCCTCCTCTTCGTCGTCCGTGTCTGCCTCCAATGCTGCGACGCGTGCGGCGGCCAGTTCTACCTCCTTGCGTAGCAATTCTTCTCTAGCTTTAGCCAATTCTTTCTTCTTTTGAAGCTGTGGTGCGCGGCGCCCTTGGAATTGTTGTGGTAGTCTCCGCAGAAGTCTCCGCGGAAGTCTCCGTGGTAGCAGTAGGTTCCGAGGACGTGTACGTCGTGGTGGTCGACGTAGTGGCGGCGACGGTCGGCGTGGCGGCGACGGTCGGCGTGGCGGCGACAGGCGACGTGACGGCGGCGGTGTTTTCTTCGTTTGATTGAGCTTCCATGGCTGTTCTTTGGCTTCTTGTTGTTGGCATCTGTGATCTTGATCTCTGTGCAGTCTTGCTTTCTTCTTCCAACAATCCGGCTTCTCGAAGGACCAGATCTTGATCTCTGTGCAATCTTGCTTTCTTCTTCCAACAATCCGGCTTCTCGAAGGACCAGATGGTCTTGCTTTCTTCTTCCAACAATCCGGCTTCTCGAAGGACCAGATGGTCTTGCTTTCTTCTTCCAACAATCCGGCTTCTCGAAGGACCAGATGTACGGGTATCTTCCCCGTACTTGTTTGTAAGGTTGCGGGTGCAGGTGGAAACAAGAAAGACAAGTGTAATTATCCTCTCGAGCAGAGTTCGGTGGTCTGTACTAGCGATGGAAGCGGAATGAATTGTGCCGCTTTTTTTTTTTTTTTTTTCGGACTACTCTAATGCTGTTGGCCGTAGCTGGCCTTTACAGCTTCACCGGACGTTATGGGGCGAGTGCAGATGGCACTCCAAACCCGCGGAAGGACTTATGGAGCGGCTGAAGGCCAACTCCTGCCCGACGGATACGACTTTAGTCTGAGGGCACCACTAGGGGTTCGAACCTCGGCTCAGGCCGTCGTAATTTCGATCCCCGTTTGAATTGGATGGGGGATCGATCGGAGGGGCGCCCGGGGGCGCCGGTGTGGAGCGCCCGGGCGCGCGCAGGCGCCCGGTTGAATGCGCGATATTGTGTGTTTGAGGTCGTCGTCTTCGCCGGCGAGGACGGTGTCGTGTGTGTGTGTAAAAGTGTGGTCGGGGTGGAACGGGTGGGCCCGTGGGGAGGTTACCTGCCGTTATGGGGTCGTCGGGGTCAATGAGAACGTGCCTCGGGCGACGTTGTCGCGTATGTCGGATATTACTCCTCGGTGCGTAGTCGACCGCACTGACTATAAGCGGATTAGGGTGGATTGGGCAGAGTCGAAGTAGCGTCGAGACGCTTCCTTCATAAACTGCTTGATGGAGGGCAGATTAAGATCGCGGTGGAGATCTACGCTGCGAACGAACCACGGCGCACCGGTGGCTCGACGCAGAAACCTATTCTGAATGACCTGCAGTCTGTTGATTAAGCAGTAGGGTATGTGGGCGAATACGGGACTAGCGTAGGT